GTAGTTATACCCGGACGCCGATGCTGGACTTTAAGATAGCGCGGGTAGGTCGGCAGACGGCACCCAGGTATCGCTACCCACGCGAAGGGTTCGCGTGCTTTTCTGAGCCAAGAAGTGACGGGCTGCTTTAGCTACGGACCCATTCACCTTGGATTTGGCAAGGTTGCCCCGTAAGTAAGGGTAATTTGTGTTTCACGTGAAGCTTCATATGAACGAATACAGACCGCTATTTTCCAGTGCTTCACATAGACCCCTATGCCTCTTACAGTTATGTCCCTCACTTCGTAGCCATTTCCCATCTCCAAAGCCTCTTCGCTATAATGACAATCCTAATGTTCTACTTATTCTATGAGGCGGAGGCACGCGAGTGGTAAGCGTGCCACTGTAGTGACAAGTGGCACGCTTACTGCCACTGCAGTGACAAGTGGCACGCTTACCACTCGCGCGGTCCCGGGTTCGAATCCCGGGTCGACTCCCGCCCAGGCCAACCAAGCCTTCTACCCTCCGGGGACGGTAAATTGGTACCAGATTCGTCTGGGAGGATAAAACACTGACTTACATCGGCTGGCCCCCGCAAGTCATTGTATAGGCCACATCGCATTCAATAAGCCACTACGATTCTGAATGGAAGTAGAATGCGTGCCGCATCCCACAAGGGGACTGATTAAAGGCAGTTGCCACGTTAATTTGGTACTCAGCCTAAAATGCTGGCAGGGCGCCATTTAAATGAAAAAAAAACTAAGTGAAACGGTCCAGAACTGCGAAGAAAAGCCTTCGTTCTTGAAAAGCGATTTCGGACGAGTTTCCCGTAGGCGTATTGCAAATAACCGCTCCGGTAGGTGCGGCTGCATGTATGTACTCATATATCCATTCAGCACCGCAGCCGCTTCATACCAATTCCCTTCGCTTCATATATCGTGAAATTTTAGCTTGACAGGATCCTTATAAGGGTACCTCCCTAGGAAAAACCGCTACGCAGGGCCTGCTCAGGGTCGCGGAAGTCCGCCCTGCCAGGCGTATAAATCCTACTCGTCTTTGGGGATTTATCGTGCCAACTGCCTTTAACGGCGAGGACCTTATCCTCATTCTATGTATTTCTATTCACTTTACCCTATACTCTGTTCACTTTATTTTTTTTGGCTAGGAATGTGCGCGGGTCAAAAGCTGATTTTTTCAGATCTCAAGAGATCTCATTATCGTGTCGTGTCGCTGATGATGGCACTTCACTAAGCTTTGGGATGAGTTCGTCACTTATGGAATCAAGTTCAACTCACTTCATTGAGCCGATTATACGCAGCATGACGACGATCGTGGTCTGGCTCGTCTATGCGTGTTCGGTCCCAACTCTCCAGATCAATTACAACTTTGAGCAGGTCTTTAATGTCCCTTATGATGTGATCATTTGCTATCAAGCCTTCGACGATTCGAACAAGCGCTTCATGAGCTACACGACCGTCCGCTTTGGAAAATAGCGGTCCCACACGTCTGGAACAACAGATTGGTTTTATTTAGACTGCAAAAAGCAAAGCACATCATAGCGATAGGGGACAAAGAAAAAAAGAAAATAAATGTGTCAGTATTACCCTCCTAATTAGGTGCCGCTCCTTTTCAGCACGGATTAGTACAAATTCTGCGCTGTATTACTACAACCGATACTACTGTGGTCGCTTTGAACGTACCATGCTGGAACAGATTATCCCGAAAATGGATGGGGAATACCAAAAAGTCCTCTTCTTGAACAAATGTAACTCAAAATCGAGGTGTTCGATTTCTAGATCTCAAAACGCCTGGAATATTCTGAGCGCTCCTTATCTCAAGAAATATCTCCGATGGGGATTCGATGATTTCGAAAACCATGACATGCATGTTATTGTGCTGCGGTCCCTACTCCGTCGTTCAGTGCTAACTGACCCTGCGCACAACTAACTAACTGACCCCTCCCTACACAGCGGTCAAATATGATCCACTACGATGAAGATTGCCCAGTCATGATGTGTTCTGGTTAGCAACTCCTTAGCTGTTAGTTTATCGCGAGGAGCTGAATTCCACCTCGACTCACCTGAGGAATTCCTCCGGACCATCAACATTTCTCATAAGGCATGCAATGACATCGAGTAATTTTTTCAGAGTTCCTTCTTTGGGTATTTTCCTTTCTAGGTGATCCATAATCGTAGAAGCCATCTGCCGGGCAAGAGCACCATCAGGAGTGTATGCGGACAACCTAAGAAAACCATTAAATCCACTTTTAAGGGAAAACTATACATCTTTTCAATTGATGCTGATATTTGCCACAAAGGGGGTGCATGGGTTCCCAACTGCAGTGGCGTGCCACTTTCTCCGGTCAAAAGTGCCCCCATACTCCGCCTGCGCCGCCGCACGGCCAGCCACAAGTCAACCATAGCCAATGCTCTACTCGCCTGTGCCCATCCACATCTAACTGCTCTCTACCGCTGAGTGCGTCCTTCGTTGGGGAGGGGGGGGGAGGTTGGAAGCGGCGCAAGCCCTGCACATAAAGAATAGCGCGGGCGGAATGTGGAAATGATAGTCGAGTGCTGCTCACCTCTAGCCCTTCCCGAGCACTTTCGAGTAAGAGAGGGACACGCCACTGTACCTGCGGGTTCATTCACCTCACACGTGGGAAAGACGTCATCAGAGGTGAGTGCACAGTTCGTTTTTACTAAATCAACATGATCGCCTTACTTGCTGAGCAATTCCAAGTTGTTCGCATTAAAAGTCTTCACAGAGTTCTGCACAGTATCAGCAAGAAAGTGGATGACTGGCTTTATATGAGCTACCACGATACATGTACCGTAATTACGGCCTGTAAGAAAAAAAATTCGCGTATATTTCTCGACAAAAGTAAAACATCCTACCTTTCCCCATGGGAATGTCCTCGTAATCCAATTCGGAAAAAGATAGTGGTTCATCTGCCAGAGTAAGCAGGTTAAGAAGGGCTTTCCGAATGATATTCAACATGTGCGTCGTAAGACCTGGCCATAATAGGGGAGACACCATTAGTTCCATAAGTGTTCCGCGATGGCCATTCCATTCGTAGCGTAAAGCAAGGATATTGTAATGTCTGAAAAAATAACTGATTTCGACGTTCATTGACAAAATTAGACGGTTGGTAACTTAGCCCTCGAGAGACCAAGGCTCCATTAGAACAACTTTTCAGTATGAATCTATAGTACGTAATACCTTAACGGAAAAAAACCAACTAAGGATCTTATTAGCTGCTGAGCTCTTCTATCACCACACTAAAGCCATTTAAAATGGTCTGGGTCATTTTACTTTGGACATATCCACATTCCTTCTATAATGCGAGCCTTGTAGTTGTAAAAACGTCCATGAGGCCATAACCAGTCGTATAGTAGTCTCAATGAGGTTCTCATGAGTAAAAAGGCATAATCCAAATCTTATAACCCTTAATGTAACGACGCGTTGACATGGCTGCTACCGTAATATCTGTAGTCCTTTTCCTGGGGTATGAGCCGCACTTAATAGGTCATAAAGAAGGCTTCTCCAGATTTTTGGTATTTCTATCCAAAGTGCTGCTTTCCGTATCATTTTTTGGTAGACTGCTGTCACATTTTTTAAAGTTCACTTCTTCCTATCCAACAGCTCAACCAACATTCCTTCGACCTCTCCTCCAAGGGGTTAACTATCAGGGACCAACGAGAAATCAGCACAATGTCTCCATTCCAAAGACATCACATCGTGCCGTTGGGCACCTAGTGAAACAATGTCCCCTTCCTGAAATTTCCTCCTCTGGTTCGACACCATCCCCCGTTCCCAATCGCCATTCTACCCACCATCTTGCTAATTTTTCCTGACTTCTTATCATTTTCCCGAAATTTTTCCAGAAATTCCATCAGAAGTGACCTCGTGCAGGTGGCAGAGGAGGCATACGTCCCGGGGAAAACGGAAAAAAAACCAAGGAAAGTCAGCAACCAAAAACGCTCCTTTCGCAGACAAATACGAGCCTTCTCTCACCAACGACTGGGTAAGACTCCTTCCTCTAGGATACCCAGTCTAGTACATCCCCCGGCTCCAATACAAACTTAGCAGGGAAGCTGCGGGAAGTAGGTGACACTTAAAGGGAATGGACGGAAGATGAAATAGAACTTACGTCGGATATGAGCACACAGCAGCAAGTACTTTGATGACCGACAATGGTGCCACAATGAGCTTTTCGTCACGATTACTCATCGACGAGCTCAAATAGGGTAGAACCATATAATCCAGCATACCTTTTAGCTCTATCGCAGAGAAAGGGCGTTGCGGATATGCCGAGAGAAACTGAAAAAATCAACACATCAGACAAGACTCTTGTCATTTTATGCGAATTTCTATGTACCCAGGAACAGGGTAAGTTAAGCAAATGACGTTCGTCAGCGACCTGCTCACACTGACTAAACAAACTGGCCGAAGTCGCAGCTACATGAATGGATCACAGAGCTTCTACAGCAGTTATGGATCACAGAACCACATCACAGGATCACAGAACTTCTATAGGAGTTATGCTGTGTAACTCTAGCCCAACCATGCTGCAAGTGGCAGACAGCAATCTTCCAGTCAATCGGAGACCAACTCCACCTTAGCACAGAGTTCGTTCCCTCCGTAAGTGCGTAACCTGCTTTGGCAACCACCAAAGTAGAGCTCTTTTCGCGACCAGCAAAAAGTGCAAAAAGTGGACTACGAGCTTCACCAAGGCACAAAAGCCGTGCGAAACACGTTGCCTGCGTCGCTGATAATGCCGATGACCTCTCTCGCCCTTCGTTTTCTGCTTCAGGGCACCTTCACCAGTCGCGTACTGCCGTGTGTCTTGACCACCTTATCTCGTCTAGTGGTTATGATCAAGGAGGGTCCTAATGAAGACTGGCTTTCTGTTCTCCAGTTACCGTAGTGAGCTAGCTAGGACCTGAACTTTTGTTCTTGAATCCCACAGCCTACAACATGCAATCGCACAGTGTGACCTAAAGACACAGTCCGCGAATGTCGAAGAGGTGGTAAATAACATACAATGGAATATAGGGCTCCCTCCCACACATGTTCGGTCTCTCGGTCTCTCGTTGAACGTCCCTGCGTCTAGATTCATGCTTGCCCTGAAAGACTTGCTTCACCATCATTTAGGCCGCTTTCGGCTGCTGCCACTTCTTTTCTCTAGTCTCTAGTAGTGGAGAAATTAGTAGTACCAACTTCATACTCGCAGCTTTGTGGCAAAGTGGGTACTTTCCTCAAGCTGTTCAAGTGGTCGTGAATACTGAAGGGACGTGCCCGATCCCTTCCTTTCTTTCGGTCCTCAATTTTTCCTTGTGTGTTGTGGGACACACTGCATGGGTACCGGAAACAATTCCTGGAGCAGTTTTATTTTTTTCCAATTTTTCACCAACCTCCGCCACACGATCCGTTAACGACATTCGTAAGTCACGCAGTTTTCGTGACAGGTAGCTCGGTGTATCCGGATGTACTATGGCAGCTTTAATGACCACAGCTGTTGCAAGTAGAAGACGAAATAACATCGTACGTTGCTCTTCCACAATCACACGAGCTATCCGTACCAACAGACTTGATACGCACGACAAGCATCTGAAAGAGTAATTAATTAGCGACAGAAGTGAACATACATGCACAACATAATAACAAGTTGTAAGTTGTTTGCAGCTTGATTGATGAGCATGCAAGTTTCATCAGGGAGTGGGTAAATGAGGGACTTTGAAGGGAGCCTATGCGCATCTAAAATGTGATAAAGCGATTTGACTGACGCAGTCACACCTAATGATTGATCGCATCCAAATTCAAGGATGAAGTGACCAGCACTGATCAATCACCTTGGAAGGTGCAACCTCTTGGAAGGTGCAACCTCTTAGTTATAATCGAAAAGGTTTCACCCGCCGAGAGTTGAGGGCTAATGGTGCGATACATCGACAATGCAAACACGGTCGATACGCCAAGCACTAAAGAATATTGTGCTCCTCAGCAGGCGCTGTAAGGGGGCCTTTTCCAAACAAGGGCACCATTATAGCGCCTAACCAGAAAGCAGTATGCTGAACTAGACGCCCATCGCAACCGCCCGCCCACAAATGGCCGCACAGTCACATTGATGTTGATGCTCTTATCGCTTCATTTATGGAGTACAACGCGTGCTACATGGATATATGAAAACATACGCGCGGCCGTATCTATCAACTTGTTTGTTGGCACGATGTCGACGAGAAACTCGTTCAAAAATGCTCGTCCAATGCCGTGTAGAACAACGATTTCTCGCACGTTTTTATCGCTTAGCACTCCTACTACTATTTCTGAGCGATGACCAAGTTATCGTGCCTTATGCCTTTGAAGGTGCGCTTTTGTTTCGCTAAGGCTGCGTGCATACTTTGCGAAAGCGTCCACCAGCGTTTTGAGCGTCCAGCAGCTGCAGCGATCGGGAAAGTATAGACATCGATCTAGCGTCTGCCACTGTCCTCAGCGTATGCCAGCGCCTACCAGGTCTCAAGGGCCTGGGAAGTGTAGGTATCGATCTAGCGTCTACCAGCGTGTGCCAGCGTGCACCAGCGTCTCCCAGCGCTCGGGAGAGTAGAGTATGGCGCGATAGAAGGGTAGCAGACAGTTGGAACCCTCTTCGTGCCATACTCTAAACCAGCAGTCTGCTACCCTCCTATCTCCCCATGCTCTACTAGCTGGTAGACGCTGGCGAATGCTGGGAAACGCTGGTGCACGCTGGACGCTAGATCGATACCCATACTTCCCCAATCGCTGACTGTGCCGGACGCTCGAAACGCTAGTGGACGCTGCCGCAAAGTTTGAACAGCCCAAACAGGCATGGTCCTAGCCAACCGTTAGCTGAACTGAACCCAGCTGGTCCAGGCAAGTTCAGCTCACCGCGTTCAGCTCGTCCAACGCTTCTTAGTCACTGCGCTAGCTGCACGCGAATATATTTACTGTTAAATTGTAAATTCCTACAAAATTACAACCATATAATGGAAGGAATGTCAATTCCTTATATGTTGATGAAAGTCTGATTGGCTGTTGTTTTTCTGTTCGTAATCTTTTGCATGACTGCATTCCAGTATACCAAGCCTGGTAGAGTGAGACTTATTCGTGATTGGATTCAGCCATTGAGCAAGTGGAAGCGGACACAAACAACTGCCTCTCCAATCATGGATACCAGCATCGTGAGAGTTGAAGACGCGGCGATGCATTTGAGCTGCCCACCAGATCACCCAAAAAAATTTCAGTCCCCAAGTTTAATCACGGGGTACATGCTCGGGAAAACAAAAAGGCTAACAAACCCATTGTTTTGTTTGTTGAGCATAGAAACTGACGTACCAGAAATCTACTACACTGAGTGTGACTCATCCCAAGCAAGCTATACGTACTATTTACTTTGTCGTTCTCTTTTATCTTTTACTATCTGAACAGACCCATTCAATATGAAGGAACCGCCGTTTGGACACCTGACATGATGGGTATTGCATTTCCGTGCACTCCACTTCAAAAGACAACCTCATCAAATTTTGTTATGCATAAAGAAGTTGTTGAACGAGAAGGAAAGCCCCGCAATCGCATTTAGCCTTTCTATTTGTTTCCTTGAGCTCTTGTTATCTGCAGTTTTCTGTTGATTTCGTATCTGCAGGCTACGCCACTGAAAGAACAGGAAAAAGAAAAAGAATTGGGAGACTCTGGATCCTATGAATAGAGATGACACTATCTTGACGCCAAGCTGCTGTATAGCATGTAAGAAAAAAATCTCGCCTCCGTACAACTGGGCCCTCAGCCAGCTTGACAAAACTTAGACCTCGGCGAGATAGCATTGAACTCATTTGTGATGAATATGGAGGAATATGAAGTACCACCACCAAAACTCCAGGATATCATGAAGGCCCGTAGTCAGGCTAGACCCCTCTTTCCCATAAGCGCATTTGTACGGGAGAAGTGAGGTGGGGAACTCGGACCTCAGAACTCAATCTGCAAAAGAGATAAATGAGTGGGGAACGTGCGCGTGCCACGACAACACAAAAGAACTCTGACATGAAATCACAAATATCACGTCCAGCCGCTGAGAAAATTTTTTCGGAAAACTCGCCCTCTCCTAATTTCGTCCTTTACTACGACACCTCCTTTCATAATAATCCAACCTTTCCCAGCCACCTACCATTTTCAGTTTTTACACAAATTCTGCCGTTGCTTGGGGGATGGGAAGGTCGTCTTCAACCAGCTGCAAGTTTCAACTATCAGACCTGTTTACAACAACGCGTTCTGCTCTGCCAGCGACGAGAAATCTGCCCACCCCCCCCCTCCACCGACTGGGATTCTTCCAACGAAGTGAATAGCGCCCGTGAAACAGGAAAAATCAACTATCGGAAAAATTTTCTTCGACCAAGTACGAGGTCCCCCAGTCCAGCGACCAAATATGACACCCCCCCCCTCCAGACGTAGAACGTGCCCTGACTATAATACTACTAATTACTGTCGAATACTAATATTATCGAAAGCTTAGGTTCACGTTTTTTTTGGAATTACTCACAATTACTTCAAGGTATAAACAAGAGCAACCACCCATAAGAGCATTTTTCATTGTCAGTAAGTGCAACTCTTTTCATCCAACAACCACAAATCGCTTCCTATTGCCTCACCCAAATCTAAAATAGCCTGCGCCTTTCACACATGGACGTGCACGCACATGCACATAACACAATTTGGGCCGCAATTGGAAAAACGCTCCCGAAGAGTCCAACTTGTTCACATTCCAGTGCTACGCGGGAAATCCGCTGCTGTCTCAGATAACTTTCCCACAAGACTACGACGTTAAACCAAGAGATTGATTAGAAGCAATGAATAATGAAGCAGAACAGGGTGCGCCTTTCTCAGCTTTCACATTTGTAACCACTAATTATCTACTTGGCCGATTACACGGTTCGGTAGATGCCTTCTGAGCCATTTGGCTGGCGAGATGAGAAAAGTGCTATGAGATTTCACCTTTCGCTTTTGGAACACCGCCCTTTGCAAACCTAGTTAGATATACCTACCACACGGCTGTCGCAGTGGATGCCGACACACAATCTGGCGCTCCACGAAACGGATCATATTTCATCTTATCTGCCCGTTCGTTAACTACGACTCTCACGCCTCACAAAATTGTAAACCTTGTTATGCTTTTCGTCGAGTTTCTGCACTTTCGCACTTTCTCGGTGTCCTTCAGCTTCTGTCAAAAGACTTACAGGTCTTATGGAACATTGCTTGAAATCATGAGAAAAGATTGGCAGAAACTGACTCAAAAGTCGCATAATAAGAGCTTAT